TTGACAAACTCAGTAAAGGTTTAAGGCTTAGCTACCTTTATTATGCATAATAATCCATCTTTACCCAAAAGAAATGTTTATTTTTTATTAAAATAGTGGGAGAATTGTTGGAATTTAAATATTTTAATAAAAATAAAATAATATATTTTATAAATTGAATTTTTATCATATTAAGAATTTGGTCAAACTAGTCGTTGTAAATTAATTACCATATTATTTCATAATAATTGCCTAATTTATTTCTATTATTAATTTACAAATGGGAGTTATATGACCATGAGCCCTATAAATAGGATATGTCACTTTGCTCTACCATAATGATGTTCCTCCACATTTTTCTACCTTCTTACCCTACTCTATCTTCTTGGGCAAAGAAGGGTGTTTAAAGTTAGGTAACTCTATAGCTAATACATATTCATAGAGTGTTATTATAAAGCTGTAGCATGTTGGGGGCAACATGCTATGCATATCTCTGTTGTACTGGTTAATTTACTTTTTGTAGAGGCATGAATCGACTTAAAGTAAGTAACATTTTTATGCCTATTTTGGTGATATTTTATTATTGATATTTTTTTTTATAAGTTTACTAATTACTATTTGGTTTAAATACCATTTTAGTCCCTCAACTTTCCATCTTGATACCAAAATTGTCCCTACACTTCAAAAAATACCAAAATTATCCTTAAACTTTCATTTTTAATGCCAAAATGGTCCTTCCATCAATTAAATGGACAGATAACACGTTAACTTGCCAGCAAATCAATTCTTTTTTTCTTAACTAATGACATAAAAAAAAAAAAATAGTTGGCCACATTTTTTTATGAGTTGGCATTTTTATTTAATTTAAAAATAATAACGTCCTTTTTTTTCCATCCATGCCAAAAAAGAAAAAAGAAAAAAGATCTCTTCTTCCTCTTTCACTCTCTCTCCTTTACCTTTCCTCTTCCCTTATCTCTGCAAACCCTAAAACTTGAAACTTAGCATCATTGAGTCTGGCTTGGGTCATAATACATCAGAGATGTGTTGAAAATTCGTAATTGTTTTCAATACCTGCTATGCTTGTTGTGGCTATGGTGGAAAATCTTTCAGCTTAATTTTTTTTTTTTTTTTTGGCTAGAATTTTGAATTTGTGTGTTTCTGTTTGGTTTAGTTTAAGTGTGTTTGGATTGTGGATTTTTCTACATAGTAAATCATGGAATCAGCCAAGAATTCATGGATGAGGTGTTTGCGCAGAGCAAAAGGTTGTTTTCCAATTACAGATCTAGGTTTTCTCTCTCAAACTTCATCTCTTTCCTCCTTTCCTCTTTCGACAGTTTTGCCTCCTCATTCTCTATCAACCTTCCTCATTCCTTTCTGTACTCATCCTTCTTCCTTTTTCTTCTTATTCTTCCTCTCTCTTTTCTCTCTTCTTCTTCCTTTCCAGATTTGGATCCTATCCCGGCATTTTCCCTTACCAACTGTCGAACTCTCTTCATCGAACTACTCTTTTGCCTTTCTACAAATTCATCACCATCGAACCCATTTTTCCTTGTTGGCGCAAACCTTCATCCTCTTTGTCATTCAACCCTTCTCCCATCTCAGAGTTCTAATTTTGCCATCACTGCCACACTATTACACCTCAACGAAACCCACAAAACCTACACCCACACAGATTTGGAAGGAAAAAGTGGAGGAAGAAGAAGAATGGAAAGGCAAAAGAAGTTAAGAAGCCAAAGCAGAATAAACTGAAAAAGCCTAAGGTCAGTGATGCGGAGGCCATCGCCAAGGTCAATCCTACTGATCTCGCCATAGATTTGGAGGAAAAAAAATAGAGGAAGAAGAAGGGGGAGAGAGAAAGAAGAAGAAAAAGGTAAAAGGAGGAGGGAAGAGAAGGAAGAAGGTTGGGAAAGAGGAAGGGGTAGAGGGATTAGAGAGAAGAAGGGAGGAAGAAAAAGAAGAAAAATATAATAATAAATTATGTGGGTTTTTATTTAAATAGGAAAAAAAATGCCACATGGAAAAAGAAAAAAATTCCATCTCATCACCTTTTGCATGGTTTGTTTTCCATGTAATTATTATTTTTATAAAAATATGATTTTGTGGCATTTTAACGTTCCACTTGTACATTTAATTGACAGAAACTGACGAAAGGACAATTTTCGTATCGAAAATGAAAATTTAAGGATAATTTTAGTATTTTTTAAAGTTGAGGGACAATTTTGGTGCCAAAGTGAAAAGTTGAGGGACCAAAATAGTATTTAAACCTTATTATTTTATTTGATCTTATGACCGAGGAATAATAACAACATGATGTGGAGTTCAAGAAGAATGTTTGAGGAACAACACAAGGTGCTAGACTTGTAAGAATTGGTAAACAAGCATGGGAATAACTAGCAAATTGCCATTCATTCTACTCTTGAAATACATAAAAAGAGATAGGAAAAACCAATTAACACAACAAAAAGATTATTAAACAATATAGTTCACAAAAACTAACAAGATACACCATATAGACTAGTTAAAATTAATTTGCTACTGAAATATATCATGTGAACTATTCTAAACAAAAGATATGTTCAATACATCATACAGAATTTTTCACAATTATATTAACAAAAACAACAATTTTAAGAAATCATCATGGTTGGTTTATGTTTAAAAATTTTGACTCTCGTGTCAAACATTCTATTGCCTATAAGGAAAATTATCTATGTAGAGAGTTGTTGGATGGTTCACTTTAAAGATTGTGGTTATTCATCTTTGACCTTTTTTATTTAGGCTTTCCCAGGACAAAAGATACAATATTACTTAGACATGACATTACATATTTAGATGCTTCTAAACATTGTAATAACACCAATATAAAAGAAAATGCACCTTTTTCTACTGCACTCTCACTTTCTTGGGAGATAAAAAAGGTGTCTCTCACATATGGAAACAATTCTTGGATGTGCAAAGGCATCATTTAATTTCTTTGCCCTAGCATTTGTAGATTTAATCATTAAAAATAGTATTATTTCATATGTGCTTCAAGATAGAAAAAAAAA